GTGGCTGCCTGAAGTGCTACTTAAGAAGGATTTGGAGATGGTGTTTGGACTCTGTAGTCATCAGGAGAGGTTGTGTTTGATTCATAATATCTATGATGGATGTAAGAGGGTGACAGTGGTGATATATGTCATGTGTTTACCTTGGAACTTTTCAATTTTGTAAATTCTTGTGGTATCTTAGCAACCTGAGTTGCTTCCTCCATTTTATAGAGGGGGAGGGGAAGGAATGGCAGGTGGCTGGGATCTGAAGTTAAACCTTTCAGTAATCTCTTGCTCTTGTTTATTGCTGTTCACATTTATCTAAACTATTTGTTTAGATAGTGCCTCATAAATGTTTATATCTGTTTAGTCCTTTCCATTCGCATTAATGCTGTTCTGTTTCCAGTGCTAACAATTTTCGGTAGGATCCGGGGTCATAGAGTCCATTGAAAACCATGTGAAAGCTATGTACCATCTCTCAGAAAACTGAGTGTTTACACACACTCCTGCCAGTTTGTCCAGGAGTGCTGGGAATTCCCTGAGATCTGCTCTTGATTAAAAGCCCCTTGTCTAGTCATTTGCCTCCAGTTTATCCCTCCAATTTCTACTGGGGTAATAGTCCTAACATCCAACTTGGACCATATCGCTCTCTGCTCAGAACCATTTCATTTCCCATTGCCTTCAGAACAGAAGTCCAATCTGCTTGGACTGGAATCAAAACCCTTCCAAGCTCTTGCCTTTGTGGCCCCATTGTTCCCACCTCCCAAATAGGCAACCTTCTAAGCCAAACCAGAATATTGCTATTTCCCCAACGGCTCCTTCATTTCATTCCCACAGGTGCTGCTACTTTCTAACCTTCAAGCCCAATGTCTATTTTGAATCTCATTATTTTTGTGGATGTAGCTCTTAGCACTGAAGCATACCTGGTAAAATATCTTGCACATCATGGTGGTGTATTTGCCTGCTGACCCTTGGATCCTTCTCTTGCCCTTCCCTTGCATTACTGTAATAAGAGGCTGCTCAGTGAGGGTGGTACAGTCCAGGCTCCTGAGTCAGGTGGCCTCCATCTGGGTTCAGCTGTGGGAAGCCGGAGGGAGAATGGAAGAATGAAGGAAGGGAGACACCAGGGTATTTCTTCCCCACCCTCTCTGCCTGAGACAGCATCTCTGAAGGCAACGGTGTCTCCTCTAGGACTTCACCTCCTACTCAAGAGGACTGCTGAGCTTCAGCTTCTGCTGCTTGACTCTGATTCCAAAGCTTAACATCTTTATTCTTTGTCCCTACAGCTCAGGAATTTCATGCAGTTCCTGAGTTCCTGGATGCCTTATTTTCCCATTTGCCTTCACATCTTTTTCTTTGCCTGTGTAACCAATGTCTTGCCTTATAGTCCTTCTGTTTAAATGCTTAGACCAGTTTCTGTTTTCCTGGTTGAACCTTGACTGATGCGGCTGGTATTTCATGGATATTGGCTGAATTTTATTACCTAGTTTTAACCCATCTTCTATGTGGACATCTCTTTTTTGAGTGAACCAGGGGTAGGCCCTGTATCAGTCATCTAGTGCACAGTAGAATTACATGGCATTGCCTGGCATAGGAACAAATTACCTCAAATCTCAATAGTGTGAAACAATTGGCATTTATAAGTTCCTGTGTCTGAGAGATGACTGGGTGGTTCTTCTTCTTTGAGCTGGGCCCACTCATGCATCTCTGGACAGCTGTAGTTCAGCTAAGTGGCCCTGCTCATTATGCCTGCTCTCTCTCACATATGTATATACAGCTTGGCTGATCAAGGCTGATCTAAATCAGCCTTGGTAGAGACAACTGAGTTAACTTCTACCATGTTTCTCAACCATGACAGGCTAGCCCAGGCATGTTCTCATGGTGATCACAGAGAAGCAAAAGAAAATAAGAAGAACTTCTGTTAAACAAACAACACACTTAAACACTTAAACAAAACAAGAACTTTTTCAAACATCTGCATGCAGCAAACCTGCTAACATTTCGTTGTCCAAAGCAAGTCACATGGCCAAAATCAGAATCAAAAAGGCAGGAAAATAGACCCAACTTTCAGTAAGAAGAACTGCAAAGGTACATGACAGAAGAGTAGATACAGGGAGAGATAAATAATATAGGCAGTTAATGCAATGCACTCAGTCTGTCTCAGGCTCCATAAGATCTAAAGAGATCTATGATAACAGAGATGATAGATAGATAGATAGATAGATAGATAGATAGATAGATAGATAGATAATAGATGACATTAATTTTTTGCCATAATAGTAAACCTTTTGTAATGAAAACTTTGCAATAAAATATACATTATATATTTGCTAATTTGTTCCATACTGTTCATTTGTACATAGCTACTGAATGTTAAAAAGAGGCCAGGAGCCATTTATAAATAACATATTAGTAAACCAAGTTAAAGGGACTTTATTTATCCTTTAACCTTCAATTAGCATTAATTGGGAACAGTCCTGGAAAATTGTGCCAACCTCACCTCAGGTCAGATGGCTTAACAAAATGAACTGTTTCATGCCCAGAAATAAGTGTATTCCAAATATAAATATGAATCTGTTACAACAGATTCTTTTGGAAGGACAAAATAGCCACAGTTAATATATCTGTGCCCCAACTAAAAATGTGTAAAGAACACACAGTCTGGGCTAAAGTTGTCCCAGGGAGTGAGTCCCATTTTTGCTTTGAATCTTGTGTCTACAGCCTGGGCCCCCTCCTTTGAGCCAGGAGCTAATGCACAATCCCCTGTTTTCTGAAGAGAAGACTCAAACATGGGTGTGTTTAGGTTGGAAGGGTCTGGGGCTTGACCTTGCTACTTCAGATTTCCTTCATCGCTAAGAAATCACTTTGCCTTGTCTACCTGGAGTACCCCACTCTGGTTGGTTCTTGGTTTGAGGCACACCATGAAAGACATGCTGTCTGTCTGTATCAGTGAAATTTGGAAGCCACCTCAGTGACACTGGTTTTTCTATTTCCTTCCCTGTGGTTTTATCTTTAGAACCTGAGCTTGTTCTCGGGGATTCAGAACAAGACCGGTGACACCCTCCTGTCTGGGTGAGAGTCCTGGCTAGCCTATTCTTCACTGTTTGACTTTTGCCAAAATGTTAAAGCTTTCTCCACCTCTCCTTTCCTTATCTGAAAAACGGGGTTCTGAATGATACTTATCTCACGTGATCATTTTGAGGATTACATGTAGTGAAATTAGGTGAAAGGATATTGCATAACCCAGTCCACAAAATGTGCTTAGTAATTGTTATATATCAAAATGCTTATTCTTGTTAATCACTATATGAGAATTTTTAAGTTGTTTATACTGAGTCAGGTTCACAGCCATTCTTCTTATACACTCAGAAAATAAATGGAGGTTCAATGTTGTTTTTATACAAAAGGCGTGGTTTTTAAAAAATATTAAGGTCAGAGGTAGTAGTGTCTGTCCACTCGTGTTCACCATAAAACCACAATTACAAACACAGACTCCTTCTTGGCTCTGTCAGGTCAGTCTTTGAGAAGAGTGTTAGATTCTGTCTTGAATGTCTTTATCTTTGGCCTCATACTATCAGAGTCTGGTTGTCTAGCAAATCACAAGGTGATACTGATGGCTTGGGATTTGAAGATTTATGACCAGAGCAGTGGAGAGAGACTTTGAACAGATAAATATAGCCCCCAAACCTTCCTTAATGTTGCTTTAAAAAATAAAGGAAAAATCACGATAAGTGCATCAATTTTTAACAAATATGTTTTGCCTTCTAACACACTGAATGTTGACTCTGCATGGAGGCATCGTGCAGAAGAGCCACTATTAAGATAAAGCAACATCCTGAGAAGCTCAGTCATGGCAGAGAAAATTTCCACCCACACACATACATATGCACACCCACACATAACCAACAATCACTTGAATGACATAACCAGTGCTTTTATGGTGCCATAAATGCTGAGTGCTAGATGAAAAGAAAATGAGCATATTATTTATTCCTTGTGGCAGCCGAAGGGATGAGCTAGAGATCCACAGGGTTAGCTCTCAGCTACCCAATGCTGCATCAACAATGCAGAAGGACAGACACATGTACCTAGATTCATACCATACAGGTAAATTAAAACACACACAACACTGTGCATTGTCCTGGATATACACAGTGTATGCGAAATTATAGGTGGGCTGCAAGGATGCAAACACATTCATGTTCTGGCCTTGAAGTAGGGTTGTCAAGGAGATTATACTGAAGCTCTATTTTTGTTGTTGTTGTTGTTAAACAGAAAAAGCAGATGTGAAAAATTTGTATCAGTGGCCCATTCTGAGTAGTGGGAACCCAGGCATTTGCTCTACTAACCTCTGTTTTTTCTATGATCGCTGAATCCCATGCACTAACAACAAAGACTCAGGGACCACAGTTAGTTGAAAAGCAGCTTCTCGCTTGTCTAGACACTTGGAGACGTTTTCTGTTGCATGGTTTGTTTGGCCATCTCTTTCATCAGTTTATACTGCGTGAAGTGTCCCCAACATAATTGCACTTAACAGTCTAGACAGCGCCATAGCGTCATGCTCCGATGCATAGCCTGTGCACGCACCGCAGGGCGCAGCCACGGCCGGGGTTTGTTAAGACCTATCCCAGAAAACCTCCTCTGAGACCCAAGTGGACTCTGTTTAGCACAACTTTTCTAAGGTGTTTAAGATTCACTTCTGTCTTTTAGTCATTTTCCCAGGCTGAGAACCCAGAACTCCTGTGTCCTGTGCACAGGAAAGTAGGTCTTTGGGATCTGCGAGCGTTGTCCCCTGCCTATAATGTGTTACTATAACCCTTGTGTTAAAGGATTCTCTGAAACCATCTCCCCTTTGGAATGAGATTTTATCTAAGTCTATTTGCATTTATTCAAAATCAGAGACAGCTCTGAAACCAGACCCTATTTAAACATAGAAAGAAGAGCAGATTAAGCAAATGTTGGGAAACTTAAAAAAAAAAAAAAGCACTTCTATTTATTTTCTTGTGTTTCCTTTTTTCCAGATCTGCGGTTTCCCTCCCACTGCCTGGCCTGCGCGGGTGCCAAGTTCCTCACGTGATTTAATGGATCAGAAGGTCAGATACCAGGCTTGACTCGGGTGTTGGCAGACTCCTGATCTCTATGATTAGTTGTCACTTTTTAGCATTATGGTAATTATCTTCTAATGTGTGGCCTTGCTGCTGCTGTTGCTTTTTAACGTAGTTTTGAATTCTGTAGGTATTCAATATAAAACAGTAAATAGGCTTTTAAAAGAGCGTAAAGGAGTAAAGGAATGCTAGAGGTTCACTAGGGAGAAGAGTAATGATAGGACAGGGAGAGAAAAGAGCCATTTCCTATTTATTCTGTGGGAACATTGTGCTCCGTGAAGATCCAACAGTTCTCTCCAATCTCTCTTAAATGTTAAAAAAAAAAATGCCTAAGGATTACGTCACCCTGTGGCGGGAGCAGATCAGATAGGACGTAAGCACCTGTGCAGCCAGGATCCCCAGTCTCGACTGACTAGCCCTCTGAATTCTCCCTGCCTGCCATCTCTAGGTGCTGGGCAATACCAAGCAGCCCCAACTGCAGTGCCAGCTTGAAGTTCGGAGCCCAGTTTGTTTGCATTACCATAATCACAGTTTCAGTGTGTCTCTGCAGTTAAGGTTGTGTCAGCACTTTCCTTACTGTGTTTATTATTTTTAGCAGTTTAAAAGCTACCCATGGGAAAAAAAAAGTGGTTTTTCTGGCTGTAAGGTGACATTCTGGCTGGGCCAGGGTCTGGTGGAGTCTATAGAAATGCTGGCTGGCTGTGGGAGTCGGATCTTTTGAATGCTGTCTTTGTGCCTCGCCTGGCCCGGGGCCTCTGGCCCATTGTCTAGGTGCCTCAGTTAGGGGTGGCGCTATCTGATCGCAGCAGCGCTAATGTTACAGTGCTCAGTGCCCAGGCCTTCCCTGGGGGCCCCAGTCTGGCGGCCACTGTCTCCTAGCCTTCTCTCCAGGGGACCGCTCACAGCTCTCATAGCAGAAAACACTATTTGTAATTATAGAATGTTCAGGGAAAGGGATCAGCAAGGATTATCTAGACCTGTGGGTCTCCAACTTTTTTTTTTTTACAAAGAACCCTTTTCCCAAAGGCAATCTTTCAGCAAACCCCCATTTGTAAGACGTGGAAAAGTACAGCTATTTTGTTGGGCGATGAGAAGGGTGCTGCAGAACTCAGTCTTCAGCTTCTTCTTCACCCACCAGGAAAGCTACCAGCTCTCAGCATATTCACACACCATTTTTGCAGAGCAGTTCCCTCAATTTACGGAAGCTAAGGGGTGATTTTTGTAGGTGCTTAAAACATGAGGCATTAGACACTATGGAGTTATCGCTATATTAATTCATTTGTATACAGTTCTAGAAAAGGTATAACTAATTTGTGGTGATAGGCATCTGAAACAGTGGTTACCTCGGCAAGAAGAGTGGTCTAACTGGAAAAGGCCAAAAAGGAACTTTCTGGAGTGAGGGAAATATTGAATATCTTTATAGAGCTGTGGGTTAAATGGCATTTGTCAAAACTCATCTGCACTTTTTACTGTATATAAATTATACCTCCATGAAAAAATGAAAACAAAAAGGGAAAATAAAGCCAAAAACCTAGGCAGTTAAGAAATGAAAATGCTGGTAAACATCCTTGTACGGTGAAAATACCGATGAATTTTCTTAAAGCTATGTAGGCTATTTATTAAGTGGGGTCACTATGCAAAGTTTCAGAAAATAAGAGACCATGCTGCTTTTGCAACCTTTTCTTATATCAATAACCACCAACACCTGGAGGGAAAATCCTGAGAGAATTCCAGTCAATAGAACCACGGAATACCTTTTGGGGTCTTCCAGCCTCAAATGAGGCTAAAGGAAGCTGATGGGAGGTCTGGGAATGGAAATCTCAAGTGCCATACTTGCCTCATGCATGACTTGGACATGTACTGTAGATAATGCCTGGGAAATTCTTCATCATTTTTTTAATTCTTTGCTATCTAGTCTGCATGCTTTTTCATGACCTATGAAGTGCAGGGTTCCTTCTCATATATCTTAGCAGAGTGGAACCTCTGGTGACTGGGATTGGAAGACACACATAACTGGCATCTGTAAAACAAGCTACAGATGGATTTGATGGTTTTGCTTTGGGGGTGGTTCGAATAATTTCCAACTGACTGGGCCATGTTCCTGTACCCTTGCAGTAAAGCATTTTGACCCTCTAAAATAGAGGACTTTTTCCCCCTGAAATACTTTGAGCCAACTATAGTTCAGATTTCTATTTGTGTGTTTTAGAAGTCAAGCAGTCACCTGGAAGGTAATTATTTTGGTGGAAATGCAGTGGAGGACACAGGCCAGGGCAGTAGGACCCAGCGGGCAACTTTGCCTTCGGAGCTGGAGGAGGAAACTAGGGCTGGGAAGAGCCAGCCCGGGAAATGTGTTTAAAGGGAATAATGATGGAGCTAGGATATGGCAAGAGAGGATCCTATGGAGCCAGTGCAGGAAGGGTTTATAGCAACCAAGTGTTCCAGCTTTTAAGGCTGTTACTTTTCTTCAGAAAGGACAAACTGTTCACTGTTTGAGTGATTTCCCAACAAAGGGCCAAAAACTATTTAATTCACAACATGGATTCACATGGACAAAAATTTAGTTCCCTAATGAAGCTATGGCAAAACCTTCATGAAATAAGAACATTTTCAATAACTAGGACACTTTTTTAATGCACAATTACCGTGCTTCGCCTGCACGGACACACACATTTCCTAATCAAATCAAATTCAATTTAGCAAGAGATTTTCATCCAAGCAGTTCAGTCTAATGTGCCTAAGAGCAGAAATGAAAGTGCACAATGTAAGATCTGACAGAATTTGCTTTTTTGTAAAACTCTCTGCTTTGCAAATCTGTGTTCATTTGAACGGAACTGTTTCTTCCGATCGTTGGGAGTCAACCTATCCAAATGGAAAGTACCAAGACAGAAATCATATGTCTTCTCCGTTTGGTGACCTGTGGCAAGTGATTTTCTAGAGCCAGAGTTCTTGAAATATGTGTATGTATGTATGTACTTTTTGTTTACTTACGAGGTCAACTAGTCTTACAAAATGCAATCCATGTGGTCACATCTCTGTCATTCATAAGAATGAGAGGGAGAGTAAAATGCTGATAATAGAAGCCCAATCTATCGATATTCTTCCCATTGACTTTCTAAAATCAGCAACCTGAACCTTTTCAACCACTAAACTGCTTATAAGGGCTGTTAATAAGTGATAAAATATTCCAGTTTGAGTTTTATTTCCTTTTCCTTCTCCCAACTATTTTCCCTGTTGGTGTTATTGAGCTCATAACAATAATAACAATAACAACAACAACAACAACAATAACAACAAAAAGAATGAAAGGAAAATAAGAGACATGTTGATGTGTAAATTATTCTTCTTGACCTCCAGGCAGTGACACTGAGGATAAAATGATCACGAGCAATGCCCAAAAGATATCACAGTCACTGTGTGGCAGGGCTGGCCTTTAAGTCACGTCTTTCTATCCATGAGTCCCTGCCTTAGCAAGAGCAGCAATGGATTGAAACTAATCAATAACACTTGCTGAATTGGAAAAATAGCTAAATTTGTGGAGAGAATTAACTATTTTGGGGTCTGCCCATAATAGAAAATCACAGCGTGATAAATACACAAAGATTTTTTTTTCTCTCCAGGGCTCAAGCACTTTCTATCCTTCTGCATTTCTATCCTTAGCATATGAATTTATTCTCAAGGTTACCTCTTGCTTCAAGATGGCTGCTGGAGCTCCAGGCCTCACATATAAATTCTAGGTAGTGGGAACAATGGGAAGAAGGTGGTAAAAAGGCATGCATTACCAGCTCTGTTTTTCCTCTTTAGGAGACCTTACCAAAATTCCCAGCCAACAAATTCTACATATAATCACAGACTCCTATTTGCAAAAGAAGCTAGAAAATATAATTGGGTACTTTGCCACCCAGAAGTAAAGGAAGATTTGGTTGTAAAAGAATATCGTGGAGGTACCTAGCAGAGTTGGTCACAATTTGGCAGCTAGTAGAAGCTCTTCAATTATGGAGGGGAATGATCAAGGTGCTTTAGAGGAATTGCTCTTGCAGCCAGCTGCGTGATGAATAAAAGGAGCAATAAAAGATAGATCCAAGGACTCCAGTTTGTGGTGATGAGCTTGGTATTAGTGAGGTGGCATCAGGGACAGGAGAAAAGAGATGAGTGTGATAAAACTTATGAAGAAGGAATTGACCAAAGAAAATGTATTCATTAATGAGCTGTGCAATTCAAAACTATGTTTCAATAAACACATTATATACACATATGTGTATAAAACTTTATCTATGCATATATACATATAGATTTATATGCATATGTATACTAACATACATATGCATATATATAAATGGCAACCCAGAAAAAACATTTAGCTAAAGTCCTAGGAAAGAAAATCTATCTGGATAAATTAAAAAGTTACATGGTATTTTTCTACATGAAAAAATTGACTGGAATGTCCTCTGGGAAATATATAAATAATACATAAATAAATACATCCAACCCAAACAACATAAAACTTTTCTAGGGCTCCATACCACTAATAATGATTTTTCATTTCTAAAGAAAGAAAAAGGAAAACAAAAAAAGGAGGTACCTTACAGACTTTTAAAGAGAATAAGAGGAGGACTCGTAAGGATAATTAAGAAGTGATCATAAGAAGCCAAGCAAGTGAGAAAGTCAGGATGGGGAAGGAACCAGTTTTTCTTCCTTCTTTTCTTTTTTCCTTCCCTCCCATCTATTCTCCTTCTTTTCCTCCTCTTTTTTCTCTTTTTCTTTCCTTTTTCCTTCCTCTTTTTCTTCTTTTCTTTTTCTTTTATTCTTTCTTTCATTTCCTCTCTTCCTTCCTCCCTCGCTCCCCTCCTTCTACCTCTGCAACACACACACACACTCCTCCCTTGTGTGTGTCATCCAAAGGGCTGGGCAAAAATGGCCACGTTTGTCAGTACAGCTTTCTCAGTACTATTTGTTTGACACCCTTGGCTGCAGAGCAAAAACGACTTTTC